ATGGGGCTGCTGGGCCCAGGCAGCTGCTGTCTCCACGTGGCTGCCGTGGGTAGAACGCACGGAGGAGGAACGGGGTGAGCACGTGCTACCCCAAGAGGGAGAGGAGGGGTGACATCCTTTTAGGCTCAGGTTGCACTGCCTCGGGCTTGGGATGGACCAGGAGCTTTTTCAGAGTAACCAGTCAACTTCCCAAGTGTTTGCAGGCTGCGCATGGGTCCACCTCCTAGCCAATCGATTGCCTAGATCTTCCAGGGTGGTGTCCCTTATCCAGTCCAGCCCTTATCGGTGCCCGGGCTAGACTGGACGGTCTCTGTGGTCGCCGTCTTGGCTCCTACTGCCCATGTGTAGAACACCCCCTTTATCGTTCTCTCCCCCACCCCAGGGATCTGTGGGGGGACAGAGCGGTGGTTCCCTGGGGACTGTGTGAAGCTGTAACTTCCCAGCAAAGCAAGGAGGCGTTTGCGTCCCAGCTTATCAGGCATCTAACATCTGATTCCCTTGCTCCCTTCCTTTATTGGTATCTAGCCGCTCGCTCCGACGCTGCGGGCACAGTCTGGCCGGGGAAACAGGCAGAGAGGGCACAGGAGTGGATGCCGGGTCCTGCTGGGTGCCGGAGGGAGACCCTCGGGCTGCGGAGACAGCGCACAGCTTCACCGGGGTGGGTGGCTGCGCTTTGGGTGGGAGCCTCAGGAAGCCTCTCTGAACAGGGAGCACCCCCCATAAGAGCAAGCCCCCACGAGGCTGGGGAGGGCAGCAGAGCAGACCAGGCCCCCCCATGATAAGAAACAGCTGGGAGTCTGTGTGAGGGGCCCACTGGCCCCCACAGCGCCCTCCCTGTGGCCTCGGGGACGTTCTCCCTGAGGAGCTGACACTCCGCACACACGTGGCTCCTGCTGGCAGTGACAGCAGCGGGCAGCCCAATGCCGTGGACACCGTGAGGACAGGGCACTGTTTCTGAGCCAGGAGCTCACGGCTACGGAGACACACTGGGCTGAGTGCCCGTGTGCTTTCCAGTTCATTGGTTCTGTCCTCCCCGCCCCCGACCCCGTGTGACGCTGTGGGGGGGGCGCCTCGGGCAGGCGAGGAGGTTGGGACGAGGTCACGAGGACGGAGGCCGTGTAAGAACAGGCCAGAGCCGGCTGGGAGCCCAGGAACTGGGAGGCAGGTCCAGGTGCGCGCGCACTGCCAGCACCTGATCTTGGCCTTGCAGCCTCAGAACTGCCGGAGGGAAACGTCTGCTGTTCCCCGGCCCCAGGCTCAGGCGTTTGGTTGCGTGGCCTGATTGGTGGAGCTGGGCCAGGTGGTTTCCCTCCCTCCCTCCCTCCCTCCCCTCCCCTCCCTCCCTCCCTCCCCTCCCCTCCCTCTAAAAATAAATACATGAGTTAGCAGACCAGCAGACGGGGTCCGGACCTAATGTCTCACTGCCTCCCGAGCAGTTTCCTGACTCGGTGATGTACAACCATTTTCACCATGAAAAGCCTTTTTAAATCAAGTTTTTCCTCGCAGACCTGTCGTAGTGTGGCAGGAAAAGAAAACTCCAAATGTTTCTTATGCTCTGTAACACTTGCAAAGCTTCACACAGGACTGTAGAAGCTGACAAGTCATAACCAAAGCAACGGCCAGTTACTCAAGGTCGTACACAGACCCCCATGATAAGCTCCCGTGCTCTGTAGCTTCTGCAAATTCCTCCTGCGTTTTCTCTTTGTCTCCCATATAAGGTAGCTGGACCTAACTTCTGCATTCGGCTTCTGTAACCTTGCTTCGCCACGTAGGTAGGAAGCCCGGGACTATTTAAACCCCGGAGAGTGAGGATCGGGGCTCAGAGGATTTGGATGTTAGCCACCCCCCCTGGGCCCCCGGGTAATAAAGTTCGTGCTTCGTTATCTCCCCGCGTGTGGGTGGATTTTCCACAACAGTAGGAAGGGTTTTGTCTAGTAAAGACATTTACTAGGTAATCTGCCCCTTGTAAAGGCGTGTCTCAAGGAGACATTTAAGACTTTCTTCTGGGTGTGAGGGAAACCAGCGTTACTATTGAACGAACCCAAACTCAGACAAACGGGAGGTTTTCACTGTGCAGGTCCGCGGCGGCCCGTTTGTGCCTCTCACGGCTCTTCCCCGTGTGGACACAGAGGGGAGGCCCCTGGGAGCGCACCAGGGCGGGGCACCTGGGAGGGGAGGGCAGGGGAGGGGAGGGGAGGCGAGCGCCAGCACCTGCAGGTTCCAAGTGCAGGCAGCTGCTGGTTCCTTCCTGCAGGTTCCAAGCGCAAGAAGTTGCTCATTGCCCCCTAGTGGTGAATTGCGACAAGTGCAAACACGTGGGGCGCCGGTTCCGGAGGAATCACGTGGCCAACCTCCCAAGGTCAACAAGGCCGTGTCACCTCCCCCCGCCCCCCCCCAAGCCCTGGCGGGAGTCTCATAGGCCACTGGCGAACGTGGGCTCCGAGTCCGGGTGCAGAACCTTATCTACTCAGCACTCGCGACAGTCAGCCGTTTGGGCCGGGCGCCCCTGCCGCTGGGGACCCGGACAGGACACTCCCGCGGGCAGGGCTGTCCCGGCCACTGCCCCCGAACCAGTCCGGCTGCCACGTCTGCCTCGCTGAGTGCCGGGCGATGCGGGGAGCAGCGCGGGCCGCGCGAGCGTTTGCGGTCCAGCGCCTGAGCCGGATGCCAAGGGTCGGGGCACTGCGTCCGCGGTAATTGTGAGACTCTCCCGACCAGAACCGCTCTCCCTGCCGGCCCAGCACCCTCTTGCTGGCCCCCCGCGGGGGCTTTGACGCGTCTGGGTTGTGCCACCACGCCCTCCCCGTGTCCTTGTGCCCTCTGAGTGCACTTGCGCACGCACGTGTGCACACACATGCACGCACAACCCCTCCGCGCCCGCGCAGGGCTCTCAGTGCAGAGTCGGCAGCGATGGGCCCACCTGCCCCACGCGGTCAGTCACCCAACCAACAGCGGGGTGACAGGCCCCCAAAGACCGCGGGGCGGGGCTTGCTTGCAGGGCATTATGGGAACCAAGGCAGAAAGCCCAAGACGCGAGGCGAGGAAAGTATTCCACTTCATAAAACCCATGTTTATTTAAAAAACCTGTTCAGAAAGTCTGGAAAGCGTAATAAATACCTGTACAGGGGCCGCCCGTCTCGAACGCAAACCGGAAGCGCGAGCAGAAGGGCCGGCGAGCGGAAGCGGCGTGTAAACAAAGTGGGAGGCCGGTGCGGGAGAAAGCGCGCGCCACGCCCGCCGCCGCCAGCCCCCGTGCGCGAGTTCCCCGCCCTTCCCACACGTGACCTCCTGAGCTCGGGAGGCCTCCCACAGTCACCACTGTCTGTTCCTCCCCGCCCAGGCGCCGCTCCTTGCTAGAGTCTTCCCCACTCTCAGAGGTGGGGGCCACGAGCACGGGGGAGGGAGGAGAGGCAGTGCCATCGGTCACCCGGTGCCGCAGGGACCCGGGAAGGACAGGGCCGTCCTGCCCACGGCCTCGGGGACACGGTTCAAAGAACAGCGCTGAGGACTGACACTGAGAACTATCACCGCTTAGAAGGCGAATGGCCTTGCGAACATCAACACGCAGGATGCCCGTCCCCCGCCACACCACAGGGCAGAAGGGACGCCTGGCCCTTGCCCAGTGTGGCTGGGGGGTGGCCTCTGTGAAGACCCTCACACTGGTGGGGTGAGCCAGGTTCTCTCAAACTGGGGGTCGCCGCAGCAGGGTGACACCCCAGAGGTGTCATGCAGGGTCCGTGTCTTGGCGAGCCGCAGGCCTGAGCCGGCGGCCTGCTTTTCTCTGAGCGAATCCTGTGGTTTCCCGCCCCAGGGCTGTGGGACCTCCTGTCACCTGTACGAGTCCGCTGGTGCCGATCACGGAGCTAGGGGAGCTGGCCCGGGCACGGTGGAGACACCCAGCACCCCGTCGTTCCCGCCGGACGGAGAGGCCGCTGGACGCCCCGTGTGCCTCTGGGAAGGCGGGCCTCCCACCAGCGTCTCCCTTCTCTAGGTTGCCTTTCTCGCCTCGCCCTGCACGGAGGTGGGGGCGCAGTGGTTCACAGACTCAGCAGGGCAGGGCCGCGTGGGGGTGAGGGCGCGGGCCCACCAGGCCTCAGGGTCACGGGCAGGGGTGGGGGTGCTGTCTTCCGGTCCGGCCGTGCAGGCTGCCCACCGCAGGAGCTCGCGGGCCCCTTCGGAGCCGAGAGCTCGGGCGTCAGGCCACTCACCGCACAGCAGAGACAGTCGGGGGCTGGGCCGTCACAGCGGGGATGACAGTGGGGACACACACCTGCTGTCCCGCCACCCTCTCGGGACGCCCAGCCCTGGGTCCCTCCGTCCGAGCTCAGGGACAAGCCTCCTGCAGACAGGCCAGGCCGAGGGCCCAGCAGGCAGCTGGGGGCCTCGCGGCACACGGGATGCAAAGACTCCGGCGGCCTCTGGGTGGGGAGACCCTGGGGCCTGTGGGCACTCCAGCTGTCCCTGCTCTGATCCGTGACGCCTCTCGGGCCTGAGCAACACCACTGGGGCGGGTGTCGTCGCAGCCCCGGGAATCCTCGGGAGACGCCTACCAGGGCTGTGCAGGAGGAAGCCAGGGGCCCGAGTCTGCCCCCACCTTCCGCGTCCTGGGGCGCTGTGACGAAAGATGCCGTGTGCACTCGTTCGGCTCCCGTTCTAGGTCTGAGAGCCTCCGACCCAGCTAAGGAGTCCTTTCCAGGAGGTGGCGTGCGTGTCTGTGTGTGAGAACGAGCAGAGGCCGAGGGACACGAGAAACACGGGAATACTGTCTCTGTAGCGGGAGCCTGGCTGTGACCCCCGGGTGCTCCCGCAGCCCTGCCCGAGCTCACAGGGACAGACGGATGGGCGGCGAGTGGCGGTCCTCCTGCAGCCCGGCTGGGACACACGTGCCTGCTCCTGCAGACCCGGGCAGCGGCTGAGCGGTGGCGGTTTGGCTCAGCGGCAGCGCACGCCTGGCTGGCAGCAGCACACCGCGCCTGTGCGCACACCCAGGGACACACGGACGGTCACGGAAGGCCCGTGCAGGCGGCCCCATGCGACAGAAACACGCAACAGCACAGCCCAGCTTCCACAAATGGCACCACCTCCCAGCCGTCAGAGCTTCCAGCTCCCCGGCCCCTCCTGTCCCCGAGGGGAGACAGGGGGGACTGAGCCTGGGGTCCCGGTGGGCATGGGCTCCCGTGGGCGGTGGGCGGAGCAAGGTGAGCAGACCCAGAGCCATCGAGGGCAGGCCGGTGCCGGGGGCAGCGAGACGAAGGCTCTTCGGGTGGTCTTCGGGGGGCTGGGCCCGCTCTGACGCTCTCCAGCTGCGGCCCCCGGGGGCCTCGAAGCCTCCTACACACGACTGGGACCCCATGTCGCATTTCCCACCAGGTGACTGGCTTTCTCTTTGGGAAACGTCTGTCCGCACGAGCGGGGGCCGTGGTGGTACACGGGCCGGCAGGAGCCCCGGTGTCGTCGGCATGGTGGCTGCGGGGAAGGAGGCGGGAAGGCGGGAGGAGCGAGGCGGCACCGGGAGGTCGCCGTCTGGACCCCCTGGGCTGAAGGAGGCAGTGGGGCGGAGCGAAGTCCCCGTGGTCGCTGCGGCAACACCTGCAGTGCCGGGGCTGGGGCCGGTGCGAGGACGGCGCGGGTCCTGGCGCTACAACCGCGTGGACGTGAGTCTCTTCATGCCTCTGCGCTGGGCCAGGCCGGATGACAGCACGGGCTCCAGCCGCGGGGCCTGAGGGGTCCTGTTGAGCGCAAAGTAGGTGGCGGCCATCGCGCCCTGCAAAACAGGGGGGGCCCGGTGACCGCACTGCCACCACCCCGCTGGGCGCCGGCGGCCACAGCCTCTCAGGCGTTGCTCTCCCCCACGTCCCGGGGTGGGGGTGAGGCCCCTGTGACCATGAGTGTGGTGGCCCAGGGCCTCACCCCTGTGCCTGCCTAACACCCCTGCCGGCCCTGAACTGTGCCCCGGGCGAGGTCAAGCACCCCTACTTCGGGCTGGGCGGCGTCTGTTCTGGGCCCGCTGGGTCCGTACACGCACTCGCCCCCGCCCCCCGCCAGGGTCTGGCCGCCGCCACCTGGCCGCGGCCGAGGAGCCGGACTGACCTGGGAAACGCTGGCCGGCCCGAGTCCTCAGGGCAGACTGCTGCTGACCTGGGAGCTCCAAGCCCCGCAGGCACGCAGGCCGGGGCCGCCCCCACTTCTCTGAGGAGGGCTCCGCCCCCCGCCCCCAACCCCCACCCCCCACCCCGCCCTGTGGGGCCGCTGCTCCGATGGAGGCCCCTGCAGAGTGGCACCCTGGTGTGCTCTGTGCCCCATTTCTGAGTGTGGGGGGACGGGGTCTCACAGACTGCTGAGAGGGGGGGCCCCAGCAAGCCCTGGCGGCGGAGCAGAGAGAAGGTGGCACCTCTCCACCGCTGTGCGGGGGAGGGAGGGGCGTGGCCCCAGAAGGCGGTCTAGTGCGCTCCTCCAGGGGGCGACCTGCACAGCCGGACCCGGAGGACTGCACCCACCCCTGCCCGTGACCCTGAGACCTGGCGGGCCTGCGGCCTCGGCCCTCCCCCAGGCACAGAGCCGAGGGCGGGCGGCCACCTAGCCAGGGGCCCGTGCTGCAGTGTCTGTCCCCCCGTCTGGCGCGCACAAGCGGGTGCCGTGTGCCGGACGGAGGGGACCGGGAGCCACCGCCTCGGCACGTTCGTTTGAGACCGCGGGGCTGCAGGGACTCAGAAACCACAGGCGCGGGACAGGAAGGCCAGGAGGCACAGGAAGACCAAGCTCGGGGCAGTCGGGCGGCAAGTCCCCCGCACGTGAGTGGAACGCGCAGCCACCCGTGGGCGGAGGTCCACGGGTTCCCGGGGGCGAGACGCCCCCGCTGAGGGCAGGGCTGAGCGTGGGGCGGGGACCCTCGCCACGCCTGGTCCAGGGGCTGCCGGCTGCGTGGGTCGAGTCTCACTGGACCCGGCCACACCTGTCCAGGGCCGGCTGCCCAGGGCGTCTCTGTGCCCCAGGGGCCGAGCTGAGTCCTCGAGACAAGGGCGTCCGGCTCAGAACGCCCCAGACATTTCCTCTCCGTGCCGTCGGGGGCGCTGGCCGGGCTCTGGCCCAGAACCGAGGAACTGGGGACGGGGAGCCGCACGGCCCCGAGACCCTCCCTGCACCTCCCCCGGTTCTGTGTCCCCCTTTGTCCGTGTCCCTCTCCCTGCCGCTCTGTCGTGTGCACACACACACGTGAAAGCTGTCAGCCGAGTTAGCAGGTGCTGTGCCCACTCAGAGAGCCATGTGGGCCCGCGTGAGAGTGATGGGTGAGGTGGGGGAGCCTGCCCGCGCACCGGGGGCCCCTCCCTGCACACTGCGATCCTCGGGCTCCTGGGGGGGCCTCACGGGGCCTCTCCTGGGCCCCCCGCCCCCACCGCTTGGCCCTCCTGACCCGCGTGAGCACCTTCACCAGGTGGACGTCCTGCCTGCTGCTGAGCTGGTTCTGGGACAGGTGCTCGCGGTTCACGACCCACGGGTGTTTCAGGACCTGCACCGCCGTCAGGCGCTGCTGCGGGTCCACGTGCAGCATCCTGGAGACCACGTCCTGCGGGGAGGGTCAGGGGTCAGGGCCGGAGAGGAGGCGGGCGGTCTGGGCTGTCCCCAGAGCCCTGAGCAGACAGACACCCCCCTCCCTCGGCCGCTCGCTGCGCTTCTGCGAGTCCGCGTTTTGGGGTCCAGTGCTGCTCTTCAGGCTCACCAGCACGTGGCCGGTGGCTCTGTTTTAACCCTGAGAGGCCTGTATTGTGTTGAAGACGTTACGTCTGAGGAGAACCCGCGTGTGGAGATGTCGAACGGTGCAGCGTGTGAGCTGCTGAAATACTGCTCCGTGGGGATGACGCCCCCCAGCGGGCGAAGCTGGGCTGACCCCACGGACAGCAAGCCAGTTCCCGACGACGTGCGCAGCGTCCGATCAGTCGCTCGTAGAGTGACAATAACGTCTCCTGAAACGGTCCATAACGCAGAGCCCCACGTTCCACATCCTTGCTGCATTACACACGCACACAAGCCACACAGGCACACACATGTGCAGAGGCACACATGCATAGGCACACACACAAGCACACACACACAGACATGCACACGCACAAGCACCACAAGGCACACACGTGCACAGGCACACACGCAATCAGAGCCGTGATTCGCGTTCGCACAGCACTCGGGCCCCTGTTCTCCTGAGTCGTCAGGATCGTCCTCAGGGGGTCGGGGAGGGTCGCCGTCACTGCCCCTGTTTTGTGGATGACGGCGGTGTCGGTGTTCACAGTGACTAACCACGTGCCCAGGGAGGCCCGTGACAAGCACCCAGGCTGGTCAGGGAGCCTGCGCTCCACCGTGCTCGGACGTGAGATGAAGGAGTCGGCGTGTGAGCGCACGGTGGAAAGTTGAATCTCCCCGCAGAAGCTCTGGTCAAAGGCCGCACCACAGAGGGGCTGCCAAACACCCTTCTCCTCCACCGAGAGAGCCAATACCTTTCAACACCCCATGACGTCCGTCTGGGTAACTCCCTGAAACAGACACGTCCTGGAAGTACTGTCTCGCTTCCCCTCGTGAGGACGTGGAGGCCGAGAGCCCCACGCTGACTGGCTCAAGCCCTCGTCGTGAGAAAGGCATTCTCGCACGTCTGAGCGTGGAGGGAGCCGCGGGCGGAGCCGTTTCTGGAGGCCCGGAGGGCAGGCTGCCTGGTGGGCGCAGCAGTGGGGAAGGCACCAGGGCCTGGGGGCGGGGGGGGCACAGGTGGGCATGGCGGTGATGGGGCAGGAAGAGATTGGCGAGGTCCTGGGGGCCGGGAAGCCCTCTGCCCTCGGCGAGGCGTCCTGTGCTTGACCTCACTCCCGTCCCAGCACCGCCTCCCCTCCCGGCCTCGATGCCGGCTTCAGAGCGCGCATCCCGGAGAAACCACCAGCACCCATGCCCTGAACCAGGAAGACTCCCGTGTGCACTTGAGACAGAGCAGATGGGAAGGGGCGCGGGGAGGGTCAGGGTCACTAAATGCCAGCTGCCATCACCTCCACCATCACCTCCGCCATCACCTCCGCCATCACCTCCGCCATCACCTCCTCCATCTCCCCCACCATCGCCTCCCCATCTCCCCCTGCCACTGTGTGAGGTCACATGGTGACAGTGACGGCAGAGCTAGAGTCAGAGCCCCAGACGGTCCCCTCTAACCGAGTGAGGGTTGATTTTGTGTGTCAGCTCGGTTAGGCGGTGGTACCAGGGTTTGGGCAAACACCAGTCCACAAGTTCCTGTATTTCTGGAGGCAACTCTTGGATGAGATTAACATGAAAGTTGGTGGAGTCTGAGCAAAGCAGATTGCCCTCCACAATGGGTGGGCCTCACCCAATCAGTGGAAGGTCTTCAGAGGAAAAAGACTGAGTTCCCCGAGGAACCAGGAACTCTGCCAGTGGGTGGCCTTTGTGCTAGAGCCGCGGCCTCGACTCTCCCCGCGCCTGCCACCTGCCGCCTACTGGGTGGACTCTCCCCGCGCCTGCAGCCTGAGCCTCCGGGGTGGGTTTTGGACTCACCATCCTCCACGATCACATGAGCCAATCTCTTAAAAATAAACGCCTCTCTGTGTCTCTGTCTGTGTATGTATATACACCTTACTGGTTCTGATACAACACCGTAGAAAATGTGGAAAGCGCTGTAAAATATTTACACATCTATATATTTTTCAGCCGAGCAGCTTTAAATAAAAAAAACCTATGGCAGTGCAGTGTCTATGTCATTCGCACGAACGGTGTCCTCCAGCTCTGTCTCGGACGGAGCGGCTGCTGCAGGGTCTACACACCCGAGGGGGCGCCCGGGCGGCGCGAGCTCACCTTGGCCGCGTCAGAGACGAAGTCCCAGTTCCCCCCGGAGAGGGCGTACTTCCCGCTGCTGATCCGCGCCAGGATCTCCTCGGGGGTGTCGTCCGGGCCGTTTGCAAAGGGGGTGAATCTACGTGAGGACAGAGTTTATGGAAGTGAGCTTCCACTTTAACCCTCAAATGGAGCCCACGACAGAATGCAGCCACTCTGCTGCTACAAACGGCTTTTCCTCCCCGTGATGCTCCAGAACCGGGATTGGTGGTGACGCACGACTTATTCTCAAAGCTGCGTCCATTTCCCTTACGTGGTCAAGGCTCGGGGTCAACAGGGCAAGTGACAAGGGCCCCGTGGGCCCCGGAGAAGCTTCTCCACACCGCGCCTGGCTTCCCTGGTGACCGCTTGTCCGAGTGGTGTGCCTGGTGATTCGGTTTCCATGGTGACGGCACAGTGTGATGGGTGAGGCCTGAGACGCGGAGTCGGGGAGGCCCCGGTCGGTCTGCTACCTACCACCCCCGGTTCTTTGACAAGCTGGTTTTCAAGCTTCAGTTGCAAAGTGGGTGGAAGCACATGCTCCCGGGGACCTTAGCACGCCACACGGCGCTGAGCAGGGGCGTGCACCGTGCTTGGCGCACGGAGAGGGCGTGCGGGCCGTTCACTCTGCCGCCCCGAGTGTGACCCAGCGCACAACACGGGTACACGCCTCCCTAGCGTGGAGTCCCGTGTGGTTCTCACAGCAAGGCCGTGATCCCGGTTTCGTGGACAGCCACAGGGCGGCGCAGCCGTGTGACATCAGGACCTCGCAGCTGCTCCCCTTTCTCCGTCGGCACCAATCACCAACCCGTTACGGAACACTCGTTAGGGCCACAGAACGCGCAGGCCGTTCCCGTCCGGTCTTGCGAGGGCCCGCGGTCCACGCTGCGACAGGAGACGGCGCTGGGCGACCCCCTCCCCCGAGTACTCGACAGACTGGGGTGACGTCGGGAACCAGGGGTTTGTCGAGTTCTCGACCCTCTCGGGGGGAGGAGCCTCAGCCCTCACGCGTGAGCCCCCCCATTCACAGGGAGGGGAGCCAGGCCAGTGGGGTCAGGGGTCAGCCCGGGGGCACAGCTTGCAGGAAGGCATGGCCGCTCCCTCTAACGCCAGGGCCTCCTCCCAGGAAACTGGCCCACGCATGCCTGAAGGCCACAGCGCCGTGAGCGGCTGGCTTCCTCAAGACACTGTTTGACCACGACCTTTTATGGGCGCTTCCTGGGTCAAGAGGATGACTTTAAGGAGCGAATGCCTCGACCTTTTCAGGGAGTGGCCCCATCCGGGCAGTGGTGAAGGGGTGGCCTCAAGGCCAGAGGCCCGGGTGCTCCGTCGGTGGGCTGAGGCCGGCAGCCCCCGTCCCTAGTTCTGGAGCTGCCCTCGAGAAAACACCTGCCACGTTCCCTGTCCTGTTCCCAGGGGTCCTGAAGGGGGCGTGGAAGTCTGCAGGTGTGCCCACACCCGAGCCCCGGGGACAGATGGTCCACCCTGAGGGGACAGCGTGGGCACAAAGGCCCCCCCCCACCGGGGAGGGCGTGCCTTACCCCGCCAGCATGGTGTACAGCAGGACGCCCAGACTCCAGATGTCACAGGCCGCGTCGTAGCCTTGCCGCTTCAGCACCTGCAGCGGAGGGCGGGGGGCAAGTGAGCGCTCGGCGAAGGAAACTCAAGTTCACGGCGTGTCGTTCTGATGGGACGATGGTCCCGGCAGGGTGGGGACGGGGCGGGCAGGACCCCCGAGAACCAGCCCCTGGGAGCCAAAGCTCCTGCTGGGTACCGGACAGACAGACTGAGAAGGAAGCTGTTCATTTTTGGTGTTTTTTTTTTTTTTAAATATAATTTAAGCACTTTTTAATAAAGATTTTATTTATTTATTTTTGGAGAGGGGAGGGAGGGAGATAGAGAGAGAGAAAGAGAGAAACATCAATGTGCGGTTGCTGGGGGCCATGGCCTGCAACCCAGGCATGTGCCCTGGCTGGGAATCGAACCTGCGACGCTTTGGTTCGCAGCCTGCACTCAATCCACTGAGCTACACCAGCCAGGGCTGGAAGCTGTTAGTTTTTAAGGCAGGAGAATTTTTTATTATGGAAAAACAGGCATAGTGTAAAACTGACTATCTTAACCATTTGAAAAAGTTTTATTGATTAGAGAGAGAGAAGAGCGGTAGGGAGAAGATGGGGGGAAGGGAGAGGGAAACATGGAATTGTTGTTCCACTGATTTTGCACTCGTTGGTTGACTCTGGTCTGTGCCCTGACCGGGATCGAACTCACAACCTCGGAGTATCAGGACGGCGCTCTAACCCACTGGGCCACCCGGCCAGGGTTAACCGCTTTAAGAGTGGCGTTAAGCACATTCGCACTGCTGTGCAGCCGTCACCGCCACCATCTCCGAGCTGCTTCACCTTCCCAGACTGACACTCTGTCCCCACTGGGCACTCTCGCGCCCTCCCCCTGCCCGGCCCCTGGCCCCGCCCCGTCTGTGTGAATCTGGACGCTCTGGGCCTCAGACAGCACTGGGGCGAAGCTCACTTCACCCCTTGTCTTCAAGGCGCACCCGAGCTGTAGCTCGGGGCAGGCCTGCCCTCCTTTTGGGGGCTGAGTAATAAATTAAACCACACTGTGTTCGTCCTGTGAGCCGTTAACGCGCAGGTGGGCGACTTCCGCCTCCTGGCCACCGTGAGTACTGCCGCTGTGACCACGGCGGACGGGATCAAATACAGTAAACAAAAGTCGTGTGTGAGCAAGGTCAGAGGCCGGTTCTTCTCAGACGCATTTCTGTTCTCTAAGGCGACTGCCGACCTGAAGCCCGGGCTCCGCCAGGCGCCGTCTCCCGCGGGCTCCGAGCCCTTCCTACCTCCGGGGCGACGAAGTTGGCCGTGTAGCAGGGCGTCATCAGCAGCCCGTTCTCGGCGCGCAGCTGCTTGGCGAAGCCGAAGTCGCAGATCCGGATGGATTCGGGGTTCCCAGACTCGTCCACGTACAGTATGTTGCTGGGCTTCAGGTCTCGGTGGACAACCTGGTGGGAAGGCAGCAGGGGTGCCTTTCCTGGCCTGGGGGTGCAGCACGGAGGGAGGGGCAGGAGGGAGCCGGCGGGCCAGGAAGGTGGGGGAAGGTGGGGTTTCTGTGGGAACCGTGTGTGTCTCCAGGGCACACCCCGCAGCAGAAGCAGGTCAGCCTGGAGGCTCTACTTAGAGCCCCCCCCCAACCCCGCACACCCACGCTCAGATCCAGTCAGAGGGGCTGGGCGGACCCCTCTGATGGCGAGCGAACATTTGAACAGAAAAGTACGTAGGCAGCTACGCGGCTGCGGGAGTGGCTGGGGGTGGGTGGACAGAAGGGACTGGGGCGCTCGGGCAGCACGGGCGGGACCATCTGAAACAGTAAGCATGCGCCTCGGGCCCGTGGGGCCGCAGGGCAGGCGTCGGTGCACCTGTGAGGGACGCGGGGCCAAGAGGCAGCGCACAGAAGCCCGGGAGCTGGGCCTGCGCCCTGAGCTGCGGGACCGGCCGCCGCATCTCAAAGCAACCTGACTACGTAGGGCACAGGGCGGCGTCTCCATGGTGACCACCCAGCAGGACCCACCGCGGGTCCTGGCAGAGTCCCCTCCTGCTCACAGGGGACTGACCACACGCACACGGCTGGTCAGAGAAGGACGCCCACCTCTGCAGATGTGCCCGGAACCTGGAGAGTGGGGGCAGGCGAGGAGGGGGGGCCAGGCCCCCGGGGGAGGCCGCATCTGGGGCTGAGAGTGCAGGGTGGGGGGCAGTGTCTGGGGGAACAGCTGCCACTTGCTTGTGTGCAGCTGGGGGCGAACGTTCAAGCCATCCTCGCCCTGGTGACGATGTAAAGCTGGGCCACCGGAGGTTGGGACTTTGAGGGGGCGGGGGGGCGGGAGGTGGAGCTGAGAGCAGCGCCTGGACCGTGGTGGGGGCCATGAGAGCCTCAGCGTTACCCCCACTTACATGAAATGATTTTATTTACTTACTCATAGAGAGAGGGGAGGGGAAAGAGAGCACAAGAAACATCGAGGTGTGGTTGCCTCTCGAACGCCGGCCAACCGGGGACCGAACCCACACCCCAGGCCTGTGCCCTGACAGGGAATCAACCTGTGACCTTTCCCTTTGCAAGACAATGCCCCGCCCACGGAGCCACACCGATCAGGTGTGCTGTGGTCACTTTTATCGACAGTGTCACTTTGCGTTGGTTAAAAAAATTCGAGTTTAAATAGGGCGAGTGAGGGAAATTCTAACATTTCCCTTTATCGAGCCCACGTTGTTGCTGTAAGTGATCCAGGTACATTTACCTTCCTCCCTCGGCCCCCTGCGCCCAGCGTGCGCCCGGGACGTCAGACACAGACGGACTAGGGGGCCGGAGGAAGCCGCAGACGCCCTAGGTCCGCGCCCCGCCCACCGCGCCGCGCCCCGCGGGCTCACCCCCTGCGAGTGCAGGTAGTCCATGGTCTTGCTGATGGTGCACAGCACGTCGCTGGCCTCCCGCTCCGAGAAGCACCTCTGCCGCAGGATGCGGTCCAGCAGCTCCCCGCCGCGCATCAGCTCCGTCACCAGGTACACGAACTTCCCGTCGTCGTAGACCTGGGGGCCGGGAGGAGGCGCGCATGCACTGTCGGTGCTGCACAGTCACCCACGCCGCCGCCCTCTGGCCCCCGGGGGGCAGAGAGAGGAGCGGCTGCAGAGGGCGCCGTCCCAGGAAGTGAAAGACTTGTACGCAGTAGGCACGTGCGAGTGGCCAGTCCGGTCCCACCAGACATGGCTTAGACGAAACCAGCGTCCACACCCGCAGCTGGGCAGGGATTTGGACAGCGAGGCCGGCAGCTCAGGGCTGCCCGACTGAGGTTCCTGCTGAAAGGAGCCCCAGCCCTGCCCGCGGCCCGAGGCCTGCGGCCGACACCTAGGGACTGAAACTGGGCGTTTGCACAGCCCCTAGGGCAGCCCGGTGAAGACTCTTAGCACACCTGGCACCCAGGGGCGCTTGCACCCCCGCAGGTTCTGACCCTGCAGGTGGAGGGTGTGGGTCTAGCCCTGCATTCCTGACACGCCCAGGGGCCCTCTCGGCCTCGGGCAAGACTCGGAGCAGCCAGACCCCAGGGTCCAGACAGGGCGGGGGGCAGAGCCAGAGCTAACTACAGCATGGGGGGTGGAGCTTGTCTTTCAGCAAAGGGATAGAAAAGGAGGCTTTCGTCGCACTAGCTGTAACGCTCCGGCTGTCCCTGCGTCACACTGTGCGTGCGACAGGCACAGCCAGGTCCCGCTGCATGGGCCCCCGGCACTGAGGAGAACCTGGTGGAAATGGAGTAAAACTCCAAAATAGGATTCTACTTGAGCTTCCAGACCAATGAGTTTTCAAAACACGCCACTAAAGCCATTAGTGTGGGCTGGAGAGGAGGGAACTCTGCCATGGACCCCAACACCCCAGCCCGGGGACCTTCACGGATTGCTGGGGGCACCCCCTGCCTCGAATGTGGCTAGTTCCTGCCCGCTCTGCCCCGGGGGAGGGGCCGCTAACCACCCACCGGGAAGGGAAAGGGGGCTGAACCCCCACCTGGCCTGCCACACCCTCCCGTCTGTCACATTAGCAACGACAGTGGGAAGTGCACATCTGGGCTGGAATTCACGCCAGCGATCTTCCCCCCTTTCTGGTCATGTGACCTGGGGGCTGGGGTGGGGGGGTGTAAGTGCTGGGCAGGCCAGGCAGAGCCGGAAGGGCGAGCGGCAGACGCCGGCCTGGGCGCGAGCTGGGTGCCACGCCCCGTCACCGAGCCCCACGGAAAGCCAGCGTGCCGGCGCGGCCCCGGGGAGGCCACTCACGTCCTTGAGGGTGATGACGTTGGGGTGCTGGCCGTATCGCAGCAGGATCTCGATCTCTTCCGAGGGGTCTCTCTTGCTCTTGTCGATGATCTGAAACACAGGGGGCCGGAGGGCGTAAGACCCTCGGAGGACTGCGGCCTGGGTCCCGTCTGCCCCTCCCCCCGCCAGCCCCCCCCACCCCCGGAGGTAACTCACAGCCGCCTAGAAATCCACCGCAACCCCCCCGCCCCAGCTGGCACAGAGCAACAGTTACAGAAGGACACCACCCCTGTTGAGGTGTTCCAGGGCTGGCTGCAGAGGGTGGGCTGCGGGAGCCCCCCAGCACGACAGGCTGTGGGTGGGGGGCCGTGTGCTCGTTCACTGCGTCCAGAACGAGCCTCCAGCTGCTGTGTCTCTGCCGCACACCAGCTGCACAGCGCAGTCGAGTGCGGGGTTCTCGCCCAGAGCCGCGGGGCGGGCGCCTGCGGGGTCCCTCTGTGGCTGGGACCCGCACACTCCGGTGCTTCTCTCCATGCCTCCGCCTCCCCCGCCAGCGCGGCGCCCCGTCAGAGGGCAGGCACAGCCCCCACGCCCCCTGCGGGCGGACGGCTCTGCCGGAGACCACCCGCCTTGGAGCAGGGAGCCCGCTGCGGGCGTGCTGGGGGTGGGGGGACCGGCCCCTTCGTGTGAGAGCTGCTCTCAGAATGGGAGGGTGGTCAGGCTGTTCCCCTTGTCAGCCACCCCCCACCCCTGACTTAGAAGCATTCGCAGTTTGGGGGCCTGAGATCTCTCCACCCAGAGCGTGGGGGGGCCTGCTTCCTCCGCTGGGTCAGGGACTCCTAGTGACTCTCCGCATAAAGCTCCGTCTCTCTCTCTAGGTGGGCACAGCGCTGGGCAGCCCCTGCCCCGCGGTGGGGGCTCTGCCCACCGCCTGTCCTCCCCGCCCGGCGCCGATGCGAGGAACCCCACGGGGACAGCTCTTCTCTCCCACCAGGCTCACAGCCCACCGCCGAGCTCCAGGGGCGTCGGCGCCCAGGACCGTGGGCACGACGACGCCCGTGACGGACAGGAGACACACCACCGGTCTCCTCCTGCTGCAGCCATTTCCTCCCACTGAGGTCCCAGCTGGGACCCGGGGACCCAGTCAGTTACTGACGCCAGCCAGCAGGTGGCGCATCGCCCTCACGGACGCGGTCTCCTCGGGCTCGCCCAGTGGGGGAGGGGCTCCTGACCGTCCGCGCACCTGCGGCTGCGGGGAGGGGGGCCTCGGTCGGCCTCTGCCGCGGCTCCCTGCCGGGCCACCCAGCCTCCGTGGGCTGGGATCTTCTCTTTGAAACTTGAGGTTAAAAAGACAGGGTCTGGGACAAACACCCCCTTTTATCACAAAATCATGAGCGTGTCATTCTGTAACGTAACAACGTCACACTCAAGCACACGGTAGGACATTTTAGGTGAAATGTTCCCATTAAAACGATAAATTATCACACCTGTATTATTACCCTACCAACCATACTCAAGCAGGCCTTACTTCTGTTGGACCCTATCGGTGGATTTAAAAAAAATTACATTTTTTTAATAATAAAATTTCATGATGAAAGAAATATTTTCGTAGCATAACCTGTTGCGTCACCCTCTGAGTGGATAAACAAGAAAGAGGAAGCTTTTTCTGCACGGGCCGGGGGCAGGGCGGGCGGCAGTTAGACCGAGGGGGCTGCTGCGGGGGGGCGCCCATGGGCACCGGGTCCCACCTCCCTCCTGCCCTCCCACCTCGCCCTGGCAAAACTGACCGCAAGCCAGAGGGCAAGGCAGGGAGGGCACCATGATGGGGTCCCCCCCCGCTCACAGGGAGGGGAAGTGGCTCTGCAGGGCCCTGACAGCTGTCCTGGACAGGACGTCCCCGGGAACTCCAGCCCCACCCCCTGGCCGCTCCCTGCCCCCTGGTCTGCTGGCCTGTGCTGACGCGGTCGGACACACGGACGCACGTGCTGTTCAGGCTGTGTTTAGACCCCGAGCTCTGCCAGCGGTGCTGCCGCTCTTCTACACAAATCTCCTGCATGGTTTCGCTTCGCTGTGTGTTCGGCAGGGAGGGAGAGCTGTCGGTGGCGGGTGAGGAGGGAGCCCCCGCAGAGATGCCCTGCGGGGGGGGAGGGGAGGGGAGGGGAGGGGAGGGCAGGCGCGGTCGCCTGTGTGGGGGTGATGCCGTGGGCCCGTCGTCCAGACAGGCCGGGAAGAACCGTGCTCTGTGGGGTGGGTTCCTCGGGGTCGTCAGTGCTCCCCCTGCTTCGAGTGCAAGCCCGGGCAGACTGAGCCCCCCCGTGTCGAGAGCCGCTCCCCGTGTCGAGAGCCGTGCCGTTCGGAAGCCCCTCTGCCGTGGCAAGGCCGAGGGAGGAGCTCTCCCTGAGCAAGTTCTGCACAAGCCCCCCCCGTCCCCCTGTGCCCCAACAGTAACAATGACGGCCACCGGGAAGGAGTCGCAGGGCCTGTCCCTCCGTCATCTCGTCTGGCAGTGGCCACAGGGAGCAGGGCACTGCCCGGCGCTGAGCCCCGCCCCACGCGGAAACAGCCTTTCCTCCGGGACAGCCCTAAGAACAAGCATCGTGGGCCCGAGGTCCTGGGGGATGCGCAGCCTCGACACCCACGGGCGAGCCCGGCCTGGCCAGGGGACAGCCGACACCAGCGGCCGTCCTGGGAGGTGACTCACAGGCCCCCCGTCACACACTCGGACTCCTGGTGGCTGACAAGGGGGACAGGCGGGGACCAGACTTCACCACCCTCACACGCCTGTTCCTCTTCCCTCCGCCCTCGAGTTCCTCCTCTTCCTCCGCGCCCTCCCCCCTCCGGCTGCGCTCAGTCCCGGGCACAGCACAGCGGGGGTGGGGCTTTGCAGGGGACCCCACCGAGACCTGGGTGAGCTCCCTGCCTGGAGAAACGCCCCCCCCCCAAGCAGGGACCGGCATTTCCCCTGGCCCGCCCAAGGGAGCCGTCTCTCGTGGGAAACGAGGCTGCTGGGGCGAGCTCTCGCTTGCAGGGAGCCACAGACGCCCCCCCCCTGCACAACTGACTTTAACAAACGACACACGGAAACAACGCCCAGGTTTCCTGCCAGGAAAGGTGAACATTTCCACACCGACCAGCTCTCCTTCTGAAAATGAGCCCCCTCCGTGTGGAGCAGCTGTCTTAATCCCCCTGCTCCTTCGGGTGACACATTGCACGCTCCTGGTGGAAACCAGCACAGGAACGCTAACGTCGTCGCGGACGGTCTGCGGTGGGCGCGAGTCGGGGCCGCGAGTCGGGAGAGACCCCCGGGCCTCTGTGGAGCGCCGGGGCGCTGGTGCATGTCTGGTGCAGAACAGGGGCCGCCGCGAGGGGCTGCGGGAAGGAGTGAGGACCACCCCGGCCGCCGAAGGGACTGGGGCCCAGACCGGAAGGGCTCTGTTGGCAGTGATGGCCAGAGGGGGGAGGCGCGGAGGGGCTGGGACTGCCAGGGGCGGCTCCCAACTGAGGTTTCTCTGTAAGCAACTCGCTCTCTGGCCCCCACGAGCACTGGGGCGGGGGTGGGGACATGGGCAGGGCCGAGCTGAGATGCACGCCAGCGGTAGCAGGTGCCCGGGGCAAAGTGCTGCAGCCGGGGAGGACATGCGACAGGTCAGGAGCCACAAGGGGGCAGCACCCCCCCCCCCCAGAGAGCAGGGACCCTTGGAGCTGAGGTGCAGGTGCCAGTCTCGGGGACGGCTCTGGGCACAGGGAGGGCGAGCCCGGGAGCCCCAGACAGGAGCTTCCTGTATCCGTGAGAGCCGCCGCGTCCCGGACCTGCTCTGAGGCGACGCATGTCCTTCGTGGAGGAAGAGCTGCCCCGTCCCTCCCCGGAGGCCCTGCCCCGGGCCCAGGGCCACAGGGTCATGGCGAGGGCCGCCTGGCCCCGCACGGAGCCCAGGGAGCCCCGGGGAGCCCTGGGCTCTGGGTCCAGGATCGTCCTGAGGGACCCACCCTGCTCTCCCTCACACCCCACCCCCTGGGAGGCCCCTGGGCTCGGCACCGCCAACTTGGGGCTGAACAAGTCCACAGGGGAGGAGTGGGAGGGGCTGTCCCGGGCAGGACCGTGAGCAGAGTCCTGGGAGGTGCCAGGAGCGCCGCCGCCGCAGCTGTGAGTGACCAGGATGTCTCTGGACGTGGCCAGAGTCCCCGGGGGAGCCGCCCGACTGATCGGGACCGCCCTGGGGAAACTGTGCCTCGTGCCCAGTCGGATTCCACGTTCTCCGTGCGGCTCACCACTCCGTGGGCGAGTTTCGGAGGAGCCCACGCAGCAGGAGGGGTTGTGGGTTCGCTCCCTGGTCTGGGCGCAGACAAGGATCCGCCAGTGAGCCCAACACCAAGTCGATGTCTCTCCCCCCCCCCCACACCCCCCCTTTTTCTTTCTCTCTAAAATCAGTTAAAAAACAAAACAAACAGTCCAGCTCAGCTCAGTGGGCAGGCCGTGGACTCGAGCGCCCTGTACAGAGAATGTGCGACGTACGCTTCTCCGTGCACTGGAATCAGATTTACAGGAGACCTGCGCCCCCACAAATGGCCACGCCCCCCTTTCGCCAACCAGAGAACTTGAGAAACGATACTTTGCACTCCCAGACCACACAGTCATAGGAGCTGCTCTCCAAGGCCGAGGGGAGGCCGCCAGGTTCAGCCCCTGCAGACGCTGCCAGTCTGTGCTGGTCTTCGCTCCCGCGACTCGATTTTTGGCGACCGTAGCCGCCTCCCCTCCTTCCTCCCTCTGTCCCTTCCTTTTTGCCGGCTGCTACCCCTGTCCCCACCTCGATTTCCCAAAACACAGAGTGCCCAAGGCTGCCCCTCCAGCGTGTATGGTCTCCGAGGCTGCCGCGGGTGGTCGGGAGCTACGTGCTGACTAGAACTGCAGACGGACGACCCGTCACGGCAAACGGAACACCGGCTGGTCGGAGCGTGGACCGGGGAAGGGGGCGGGGCACAGCTGGCGGGAGCGTCCGCAGCACGGCCCGCCCACGGCCTTACCTTCACGGCGTACTCCGCGTCGGTGGCTTTGTGCACACACCGCTTGCACACGGAGTAGGAGCCCACCCCGATGTCCTCCTTGACCTCGTAGCCATCAGTGAAGTGGACGTTGTTCCCGTGCAGCTGCTGCAGAGACACCGGGCGGAGGCGTCAGAGGTCCGGGCGCCGCACACAGCGCACGCGCAGAGGGGGTCCGCCCAGGGCCGCGGAGCTGGGAGGGTGGCTCCCGACCTAAACCCCGACCCGCCCACCTCTCGGGCGGGTGGCGACCACGTCAGACGCCACAGTGCACCGCGCGGGGCTGACCGCCACGGCCCCCAGCTCTGAGTGAGAAGCTGGGGGTGGGGGGGAAGGCCGGAGCCCCGGCAGAGCAGGGCGTGTGGCTCCGACGCTGCGCCCCAGCCGCGTCTGCAAATCAGCATCCGACCGGAGGTCCCACCCCCTGATACCCCGTCCCCACCCCGGTCCCCACCGGCTCCGCCCACGTGCAGACCCTCCACCCCACCTGCTCGGAGTGCAGACAGGAAGCCACCGAGACCGGGGCACGCCGTCACACCCATGTCCACCCCGGACACGCGTGTTTTCCCAAAGGGTCGTGGGGAGAGAAATGCGGAATTCAATGCCATCCACACGCCCTGACTGGGTTTTTAAATAGAATCCAACCACGACTTCTCCTTAGCATTCTCTGTGTCTGGTTATATTTACAAGGAAGAAAACCATAGAAACACTACCTTCACAGACGCCCCCAAAGGCAGAGTTCAGGACGGGGCAATGGTGCCCACAGAGGGAGCTGCCCTCCTGGGCTCCCAGCTTGACTCCCCACGGTGAGGACACCCCCATGGGCCGACTGTGGGCCCGGCCCCCGTCACGCCCCCGAGGACCCCCGCGGAGCAGGTGCCGGGTTACCTGCACGATGGGGTGGACCGTGGACTCCCGCGGGCCCTGCTGCGGGGGGTCCTGGCCCAGGCTGGAGGCCACGAAGCTGAAGCCTCGGAACAGGTGGTGCGCGTTGGCGCTGGGGGGCACGCCCGGCGAGTCTGCAGGGGCGGGGGACAGTCAGCCTGTTGAGGGGCTGCGGCGTGGGCACACCCCGGCGTGGGGGGGGGTGTCGTCTGAGTCACACGCGTGTGTGATTCTGTGCGTGTGGCAGAGAGAGAAGGGGGTGAAACAGGCCGGATGGAGGGGAACCGCGGGGAACCGCTCTGTTCTGGGCGCTGCCGGCGGAAACGGCGGCAGTGCCTGAACACCAACCGTCTGGGATTCACTGACCGTAACTCACTGGCCACTCTTGACCGTGACCCTCCACCCGGCCCACTGCAGGTGGAGGCGGAAAGCCGCCGGGGACCTGGGGTGGAGCTGTGGGCACACACACCCACGCCACGGGCCACCGAGTCCAGTTCCGAGACCGAGCCCCCCACGCCCCCAGCCTGCAGGGACGGCGCAGAGTGCACGGACACCCCCCCCCATCCTGTGAGGGTCGTTCAGCCGAGGTGCCCTCCCCGGTGGCAGGACCCTGACTTCTCCGCGCACCACTCGACCTGCGGGAGAGCCTGCGGTGGTGGGGCTGGCCCCGGTTCGGGTGAGCCGTGAAGCAGAGTGAGAGGGTGAGTCAGTGCTGGGGCCGGGTGGCGGGGGGGCAGTGTTCGCAGCCCGGGGACAGCCTGGGGCGAAGAGAACTCCGCAACCTCGAGCTCCTGGAGACGGATGGGACCGGTGGCACAGCAGGGAAGGGCGCCTGGACGTCCAGCTGTGCGCCCCACAGACCTGCCTCCAGCGTGCTCGGGAGGTGAGGGTGGGAGACGGCCATGGTGGCCACGTCGGTGACAGCAGGGGAGTGGCGACCAGGTGAGCTCTGGGCACCGGGGAAGTCCCGGGCGTGACCCCGGTGTGTGAGTGCCGGTGACCCCGACAAGCGGGATGGGGCCCGGCTGTGCCAGCCGCGTGTCGGGTCAAGGGGAGAAAGCAAGCTCGGGCACCAAAGGACCCCACGCACATTCCGGAAGAGGGAAAACACAGCATTGCGATACACGTTACATTGCAATGAAGTCCCGTGTAGCAATATAACTACAAATACAGAAACCTATAATTATGCGCATTTAAGTTTTTCTCATAATGTACTTATACAAGAACGTCTAGACACGTATTTCATGTAAGTCCCTACAGAGGGGGTGGGAAAGGCTGCAGCAATGGCCCCGCCCTTCCACCGTTCACCCCTCTGCTCTGCGCTGCTGCTTCCCTTTGACACAGAGGTGACGCACGATGAGGCAGGGTTCGCCCTCTCGGGGGAGCAGGCGGGTGGGGCGCGGTGGGGTGGGCTGCCACGGGGAACGTGGGTTTTACTCCCCAGCGTGTTGCTTCGGGGTCGACAGCCATGAGGGGGGCTCCTTGCAACTGGGGACCCGAGCCGTGAGCTGTGGGTCTCCCCGCATCGAGTGACGCCCACCCACAGCCGTCCCAGGAGACTAAGCCTGGTGACAGGGCGTGGCAGTGGTAGTCTCTCTGTCAGCACCGTGGACCGCCAGGGGCCGACTCGGGTCTCCGCCTGGACCGGTCACCACCCAGCACCGAGACCAGAGTGGACAGTGTTTGGGGATGAACTGCCAGGTGCTGGACCTGAGACACTGAGACACTGAAGACCCAGGAGTGGCGTTTGAATCACGGGCTGTGCCAGACTGCAGACTCGCCTTCGGGAGACGCCGGGCGCAGCACATGGGCTTGCTCTGCGCCCTTTCTTTCGCCGGCACGGAGTTCTGGCTCCAAGGTCCGACCGGCCTTAAATGTCACCCCAGGTGCCAGCTGCTGCACCCTCTCCACCCAGCCCCTGGGTCCACCCAGCCCCTGGACCCACCGCCCTCCCCCGGCAGGGCTTTGGCTGGAGGAGCGCAGCCGTCCCGGGGCATCAGGGCGCATGCGGAAGGCCGGGTGGACCAGGAAGCGCCCTGACTGCCTACAGGGGTGGGTGCCCGCATGAGGGTCTGCCACACTTTCATCGCGACAGGAACTCTGCGGTCGCCCACAGCCTTCCTTGCCTGGGGCTGCCCCGCCCTGCACAGAGGAGACGCAGGTGCTGCCCAAGGCTCAGGGCCACCTGCCCGCGGCTAGATGGGTCCTGACAGGCCCAACAGCCGGTGCTTGGCCCGTGTGGCCAGGTGGGACCAGAGACAGGAGGTGGCCACAGCACTGAGGATGCTTTACAGTCACCTGGGGGCGCTGACTCTCAGCACAGATCTTAGGGAAGGGCAGACGTGGGCCTGGACAAACGGGATCCCACAGAACCGGCCCCGGGTTCCCGCGAAAGCGCCCCTGCAGCTGGGCTGCTCTGGCGCCTGCGCAGCTGTGCCTCCCGGGTCAAGGGAGGGCGCCCACCACGGGCAGGAACCACGGGATCACCCCCACTCGCAGCGGGCACGCACCTGTGGGCGTCCGGGTGGTGAACTCGGGGTCGAAGTGGAAGGTGTCCTCGGGCCTGCCCACCGCGGGCTTGAAGGGCGGCTTGATCTCCTTCCTGTACAGCTTCTGCGGGGACAGCGGCGGGGTGAGGGGCACGGGGCCGCAGGGGCGGGCTGCGGGAGAACTCGGGGGGTGCCAGGGCGTGTGGGTCATGCTGCGTCCCGTCTCATCGACGACAGCGCCTCACACGCCCTGACACGCGTGTGAATACACGAGTCACACATCCCCTCCAAACATATGTGTCCCGGGTCCCAGCGTAAGGGTCCTCATTTGGGGGCGACGGTTTTCAACCTTTCATCGGCCTGAGAATCTGCCTTCACTCTGTGGACAGGACAGAGTGTCTCGCCCTGCCCCGGGTGACCTCGGGGGAGAGCCCTGCTCCTGGGGACCCTCCTCACGCCCTGGTGGCCTCGGGCCAGCCCCTCGGAGCCGCCGGCCGGGTCAGTTTGGGAAACACACACAGTGATGTGTCGAGGTCTGCGCAGAAACTCCCATAGCGCTGCAAAGCAGGTGTTACCACTCTGACTTTACCGGCGAGGAAACTCAGGCTAAGACGGGTTAGGTAGCTCATCAAGGTCAAGAGCAGCTGGGGTAGGCGGACCCGGGTCTCTGGCCTCCTGCAGTTGCAGCTGCGCTCCGGACGCAGGTGCAGCGGGAGGGGCCCCTGAGGGAGCATGGCCGCCCAGAACCCCGTGGAGGCCACAGACGTTTCAGGGGCCGAGGGGCCGGGTGGGGGAGGGGGGTTCTGACTGAGGACTACTCGGCTGGGGGCGGAGCCTAGCGCTGCCCTCGGAAGCCACCAGCGGAGGAGACCGGAGTGGATTCGGCCTGGATTCTCCGTCGCTTCCTGCCCTGGGCACAGAGATCCCATTGGGAAGGAGTCACCGCTCCAGCCCTCTCCAGAAACAGCAATGTGCCGCCGCCCGTGGAGACGCACGCATGCACATGCTCACACACACACACGCACACACGCGTCGGGCGGCACGGACTCCCTGTCCGGCACTCGTCAGAGGCGACTCCGAGGCCGGCCGCCCAGCGGGCCCACTGTTACGGCCCTCCCCCTCACGGCCGAGGTCCCCTGGACATCAGAGCTGGGTTATCGGACAAACACCCCTCCTGCTCCCGTCTTGGATACAGGGCCCCCTTCCTGACGCCTGGGGGACGAGGAGAGGACAGGGGAGGGCACACCCAGATCCTACCCACTGAGCTAGGAAGGGCGTTTTAATTGTTCTGAGACTTGGTTAAAATGCTGGGGTGACTTTGCTAACTCTGGAAGAGAAGACTCCGTGTGGCTGTGGTGGTAACCCTAAAGTAGAGATGTGGGGACCGGCGTCGGGGGGGGGGTCTGACTCCCTGCCTCCCCAGGACAGATGGTGGCCCTTCCCAGCAGAGCAGCACCCGGGGCTGGCGAGAGCAGAGACCCCCGCCCTTCCCAGCTCAGAGCTCGCCATCCCACCCCCGCTCGGGCCCAGGGGCCGCAGGCGTCGGCCTCGGACGACCCCCGGTTCGTTCCCCAGCAGTGGGCCCTGGCATCCCACAGGACCTCGGCCCTCGGGCCCGACATCTCGGCCCCTGGCTTGGTTTCAGCAAGTTGATGACGGTTTTCCCAAAGCCCTCCCTCCACATCCGGGCTCCTCCACAACCGGCCGGGTTCCTGTTGCCCATCCACAGGGGACATCTGACCCCCGCCTGCCTTCAGCAAGAATCCCGGTGGCTCTGTTCAGCCAGAACCCCCCACCCTGGGTTTCTACCCCTGACACCCCCCTGCTCCCTGGCTGGAAGCCACTTGCGCACCTGTGTTCAGAGTGGAGCCCCGCCTCCCCCCAGGCCCCACCAGTCAGAGTGGAGCCCCGCCTCCCCCCACTGGGAGGCCCCACCCATCTCCACAGCCCCGTGAAGTCTCCTGCGGTCTACAACAGGCTGGGTCACTTTTTCCTTTAACGCCCTCCACAAGAGCGCGGTGGGGGCATTAGAGGTGGGAGACGCAGACCTGAGGGGCCCAGAGGCCCCCGTCAAGAACAGGCTGCACAGCCCTGCCCAGCGCCCCTCCCTCTAGCGCCCCAGGGGCTCTTGCTGGCTGAGGGGGGCCCTGCTCCGACCTCGGAGGCCCGCAGATTTCAGGCCCCAAGCCAGGGGCCGGTGCCTGTGCTCGCCAGCCCGATCGGAGAGCGCCCCCTCCAGGTGACAGGCTGGCGCGGACCACTGGTCTGTGCCCCGACGGCTGGGGTGTGCCCCACCCCCCTCCCCCTCCCCGTCCCCGGGTGTGCGGTGTGGGCCACGGCAGCCACTTACATTCCAGTCTATGGTCACAAAGAAAGGGTGACGCTTGATCTCCTCCACGCCGTCGCTGCCGGCACCTGTCACAGCACGAGGGGTGGGGGAGTCAGGGCCGAGGACCCGGCGGGTGCTGGCTGTGGGCGCTCAGCCCGTGCGGCGCCCCGGCGCCCCGCCCTGACCCGCGGCTGCGGGGACCCTTGTCAGAGCTCTGCCATGGAAGCGACCTGGACCTGGCTCGCCCTCCAGTGAACCTCGGTTCACACAGACGTGGAGGTTTTTTACGTGAAGAGGGATCAGGCTGGAAGCAGGTCCCAAGTGCGCCTCCCGTGGTTCGTGGGTTCCGAAGGAAGGAAGCGAACTGGGCAGGGGGTAGCGCCGCGGCGCGGGGGAGACAGAAACTGCGGCCCGCAGGCACGCGCTTGCGCGGCCTGGGCAGCCACGGGGCGGGGCGTTTGGACCACACGCGAGTCCTCACGTCCTTGGGTCGGACGCAGGCGAGAGCATCCCCCCCACCCCCATCAGTGGCCTCGGGAGCACGTGGGGCTGGAACAGGGCTGCGGGCACGGGCCCCGCCGACCCCCCTCGGTGCGCCCACGGCGGGCGCGGGGCTCTTACCCAGCCGGTTGCACGGGTTGCGCTTGAAGAGGGCGCGCAGCAGGCTCTGCGCCTCCGCGCTGAGGAACTGGGGCATGCCGAGCTTGGCCCTGCGGGGCGGGGGCGGAGTCAGAGGCGGGGGCGGAGTCAGAGGCGGGGCCTGGCTGAAGGGCGGAGGGCCGGAGCGACCGCCTCCCCCGCCCTCTGCGACCTGCTGCGCCAGCAGCAACTGACAACGCAGCGCGGGGGACCCTGGGCAGCGGCGCCCCAGCCTTCGGCCTTCCGCCCCTACACTCCGAGGTTAGTGAGGGCACCGAAATGTGTTTGTTCACGTGGCCGCACCTGTGATGTCAGCCACATTGGAAGTTAAAACTGAGAAAATTTAATTAAAAAAGTAATGAAGTCGCTACAAAGGAACCCTAACAATCCCGGGAACAGAAGTCACTGTGAACCGGAGTTAACTGTGACGTCCTGACAGCAACGGGGGCCTCGGAGAGGACAGCGACAATGTCCCACCCCGGGAATCTCCCCTGGGCTTGTCGCCCCTGCGGGGGTCTCAGCCCCCCGCCCCCGGACCTGGGGCTACAGCTGGGAGCTGCCCCCTCGGAAATGCTGTCACCCCAGGGGGCCCATCAGGAGCCCCCCGTCTACCCCTGCGGTTCGCTGGAGGGGACTCTGCTAGCTTCCGGGGACGTACCGGCCGTGTTCCCCCTTACCACGAAACAGAGCTCCCAGAGGGGAGAGAAGAGGGAATGTCAGGAGACAATGGGAAGGGTTTGCAGGAACAAATTTGAAGGACACGTGGACAAAAACTAGGGGGAGGTGGTAATGGGAGGGAAGTGGGGAGGATGGGTGGGTGGGCTGGAATGGGAGTATAAGGGAGAAAACTGTACTTGGACAAATGATTAAAATAAAAAAGAAAAGAAAAAAATAAAAAGAAAGAAACGGAGCTGAGGTCATCGCTACAAAAACATGGAGCTGGGGCCACACGCTGGCCTCTCTGGGGTTCGCCCCGAGCCTGTCCCGCCCCCCCCCGCCCCCCCGCCCTGTGCACACCTCGGCGCCGTCTGCAGGCACCGAAGCTCCGAGTGTCCCTCTGCAGGGTTCGGTGGGCGGGAGCTGGGGGCCCACTGCCTCACGGTCCCCTTCAGCCCACCCAGCCCTGCCCCGGAGACGCTGCCTTGGGCCCCTCCAGGAGCTGACCACCCCCCCGCCCCGCCTCCCCGCCCCGGGGCCCCGCTCAGACGGCCCCTGCTCACGCTGGAGACGCGACAGCGAGGCCGGCACTGGGGTCGGCCTTCCTTCGGGGGCCCCAGCGGCCAAGCCCACTTGCGGGGTGAGTGATCCCCCCCGAGAAGGCGCAGAAGCCTGCTCCCTGGCCCGCTGGAGCCCAGTCCTCTGCCCTTGGAGCCTGCCCTCCCCTCCTGACCGGCACCAGCCTCCGCACCCTACAGCGCTGCCACTGGACAGCTTAGAGGGTGTGCCTGGTGGGAGCCTGCTCTGGGGTGGACCAGCCCTCGGGGCCCTCGCGGCCGGCCCCTCACTATCCCTGTCGTCACCGGGATCGCTAGGCCTGCGTCCCAGCCTGCTCCCACCACCGGGGCTCTGGGCAGCAGGAAGTGCTGACTGACAGGTGCCGGGGGGCGGCCCCCAGGGTGGGCGCTGCCTACTCACTTGAGGATGAGGGCCATGGTCTCCTTCCGGTCCTTCCCCTGGAACGGCAGGGACCCCGTGAGCATCTCGAACTGCAGAGACAGCGCAGGGAGAGCGAGTTCAGACCAGCGGACGCGGCAGCGGAGACAGCACGGATGGGCGGGGCGCGCCCGTGTCCCGAAAGCACTCGGAGTCCCGAGGGGTGGCGTCGGGCGCTGGGGTGCTCGGTGGAGCCTCGGTGACTCTGCGTTACGGAGCGGCCTCAGCCCCGCTTTCCTGGCCGGTGGGTGACGGGGCGGGAATGCGCTGACCCCGGAGACAGGCTCAGCCCGCCACCGAGACCGAGACCGAGAACGGGACTCCCGGTCTGGTTCAGGGCGTGGGATCCCTCCGTGGGCGGCCTCCCGTGCGTCTGCCCCGCCGGCCAGCATCGCTGAGCGCCCCGGGGGCCGAGGACCACACCTGGAGACCAAGTGGCCATGGCCTGCGAGGCCTCCCGAGGACCAGCCTGGGGCTCCCCGGGGACTCCTCCGGCCCGTGGGGGTCACCGCCCCGAGGTTCTGTAGCTGGGGGACCGGCCTGTGCGGGTGGGAAGAGAGGGGCTGGGGAGGTGGGGGGCGGGGCCAAACCCGCACGAGCTCCGCAGCCTCGCTTCCTCCCGGGCTCGGCGCACTAGACGCACTAGACGCACTAGACGCACTAGACGCACTAGACGCACTAGACGCACTAGACGCACTAGACGCACTAGACGCACTAGACGCACTAGACGCACTAGACGCACTAGACGCACTAGACGCACTAGACGCACTAGACGCACTAGACGCACTAGACGCACTAGACGCACTAGACGCGGGCGCACAGCCCTGACAGCCGCGCCGCTGCTCTCGCCCGGCGTCAGATTTCGCAGCGTCAGCCATCAGGCCTGCGCCCAGCGCACCGCGCAGGCCGGGAGGACGCGGAGTGGGCGGGGCGGCCCGTGGGGGCGGGGCCAGGGAGTCAAGCCCGCCTCCCGCAGGGCCGTAGCCTGCGGGTCGGTCAGTGTCCGCTTAGGCTCTACCCGCGAACGCGCGACCTAAAGAAAATGCCGGTTCCCGACGCACAGGTGACAACGTTCAACTCCCCGTGCGTATTGGCCCACGTTAACTAACGTGTACGACCGAGTGGGAGGATTTGTGCCGGAAACAAGGGGAACGCTGAACGCGGAAACCGCTGCGTCTCCCAAGCCCTCGTGTCGGCCCCTAACGACGTTAATTAGGGTGTAGGCGTTTGACTTTTAGGACACACGTGCCCCTCATTTGGACCCCACTCGTGTCTCCTGAGGGTGGGGCTTGGGGTGGGAGCAGGAGGCGGCCCGGAACTGCGGGCGCCAGGGTTCGGGGTCCGGAAGCAAGCCCGGTTTCCCCGGGTCACCCGGGTCTGGGACGCGGCCTGGGGCGGGGCCGGGGGCGGAAGCGGGAGGTGGGGGGCGGGGCGGCCCTCACCATGAGCACCCCGAAGGACCACCAGTCGGCGCTCTGCGTGTGCCCGCGCCGGTTCACCACCTCGGGCGCCATGTACTCGATCGTCCCGCAGAAGGAGTAGGCTCGCTTGTCGTGGTCCACGGCCTCCTTGCTGAGCCCGAAGTCTGGAGGGGAGACCGCCGCAGTCTTCTCAGTCCCGGGTGGGGGGGGCACGGCCGGGGTCTTCGGGTCACGCCTGTGGGTTCCGCCCCACTGGCCTTCCCTCCCCCACTCGCTCCGTCTGGCCCAGCCCCACCCGGGGGACCCGAGCACCGTGGGGCCCGCATGTGCCGTGTGAGGCCGGGCAGCTCCCCGGCCAGAGTCTTAGGGGACCTACGGACTGAAGGAAGGCCTTGAGGGGCCACCAGCACACTGTATTTCTCAGTGACCGCTGTGAGCTCCCGGGAGGCCGGCCTTTCACAGGACCCCCCCACCCCGCCCGGGACAGCAGCTGGGCCTGGAAGCACGTGGGCCACGGATGGGAGGGGGGGCAGGCGCTGGCTTCGAGCGAGAGGGCACGGGGGCTGCCGCCCGCCACACCCGTGCAGGCACGCGCCTCGTGGCGAAGGGCCCGGTGACCACACAGGCCTCAGGGGACGCGCCCTCAGCCTCATCAGCGAGGAAGGCAAGGGGCCCGCTCCCCTGTCCGGGGCCGCGTGGGGGGCGAGACCGTCCAGCGCCCCGGTGGCGTTGCTCACTCCCCGCCCGAGGGACTAGCTGTGCACCGGGGTGCGTCAGGGGTGGTTTTCAATTGGGGCCGGGGGCGGGGCCGGGGCCGGGGCGGCGGCGGCGGCTCCTACAGGCCGGAGCAGGCCCTGCGGGCCCTGGACTCAGCCCCACGGACCACTCCGGACTCCCGGCCCCGGAACGGGAAGGTGGCACACGGGTGTCCCTTTAGGTCACCCCATGTGTGGCGGTCTGGGACGGCACCAAGAGGAACTTAACACAGGCGGGTGTCATGGGACCACGGGGGCGTCTCCCGTTGGACTGAACTTGGCCTTGACCGGGGAGATGGGCCCCGAGGAAGTGAAGGTGGGGAGGGGACGCGGGGCTGGGACCCTGCAGAAGTGAGACCACGGACACCTGTCCCCGGGTCCGAGCGAGCGGTCCCCGAGATGCGGGAACCAGACACCCAGTGGTGCTCCGCCTGCCTGCGGGAAGGTGCTGGGAGGGTCTCAGGTCAGAGGGAGAGGAGGAGGGCCCCCGGGACGAGTGGGTGAGCGTTCAGGACACGCCCTGCCATGCGGCTGACCCGCGGCTGCGGAGCACCCAGCCACGGCGGACGGGGGCGGACGGGGGTCGGCCCAGGCTGGTGCGGCGGCGGGGGGCAAGGGGGCCGGAGGGAGACCGGCGTCCTCTACGCACCTGTGATCTTCACGTGACCCTCTTCGTCCAGGAGGATGCTGCAAGGCGGGGGAGAGCAGAGCAGAGGGTTTGCTTCACCAGCCGCCAGCCTGCCGGGGGCCCTCGGGGGGCCGTCTGCACTCGGCGCTGCCTGCTGCCCAGTGTGTAACCGAGGTGGCACTTGACCACATTTTTATCTTTGCTTCTCGGTGACACCGAATCTCTGCCCAGAAATGAGCAGCTTTCGCGATTAATTCCTGACCAGTTCTCACTGACAGCAGAGTCCCCTCTCTCACGGCCCTGCAGTGGGAGTCACCCCTCAGGAGGGCGCAGACCCCTCCCGCCTGTCGAAGGAGAGAGGGCCAGGGGCCGGGCTTACGGCCGAGAGCGAGGGAGAGCCGCCCTGCTCACGCTCGCGCGTGGGGGCTGGGCCCACCGCTTGCTGCCCCCTCCGCGGGGCCTCGGGCCCGGCCTTGGCGGGTACACGGCCGTCTGCCTGCCCCGGCAGCGGGCAGCCCCGTCCCAGCGTCACGGCCAGAGGCTCTGCGTCCTCGTGTGCGGCTGCCGCCTGGCTCCTGGGCAGAGCGGGAGGCTCCCGGGGACAAGCACCGTGTGCTGTTCTCGGCCATTGCAGGGGCGGGGCCGAGAGCCCAGCATGGAGCCCTTTCCTGCTGCGAGGTCTCAGCATGCCGCCCAGGCACCCAGCCCAAAGCTGGTGGCTCCCAGCAGGCCCCACGCCGTCCGGGGGTGGGTGTGGACGCACAGGACAGTGCCCCGGGACTGAGAGAAGCAGTGAGGTCCTCTCAGGGATGACTGTTAGGTCAGCACCTGGACCTGAAACACCCCCAACCTCCCTGCCTCGTGGGGGCCCCCCCCAAGCCGTGTGTCAGCTCCAGGGGGAAACGGGAGAAGAAAACCGGAAACGGAAATGCCGTGGCTCTGGCGGGTTTCCGGCTCACTCTGGGCTAGACCGGCCAGCCCTCCCGGCAAGGACACCACAGGGCATCACCGCCCAACACGCTCGGGTCTCCTCAGCGACGCGGCTGAAAGCGCCTCCTGAAGCCGGAGGTGCCTCGTGGGAGACGACCCAGGACAGGGGGCATCACTCTTCGCGAGGAAGGAGCCTCGTGGCAGGAAGGAACGGGGGCAGGGGGTGGGGCAGGGGGTGGCGAGGAGGGGAGGGCGTGCCTCCCACCTGTGCAGTCACGCCCGGGAGCAGGGACACGGCTCTGGCCTCGCACCCCCTGGGACCAGGTCTCGCGAGCTGGGACTACGCCGCACCATTCAGCAGGAGCCACACTCGTGTCCGGGCCCCCTTTTCAGGGGAGCAGGTGGAGGCTGCTCGCCCCCCTGGGGCCCCGGCGTGGGAGGGGCTGCAGCCAGGGGCGCGCTCACTCACTTCTCCGGCTTCAGGTCCCTGTAGATGACGCCCAGGCCGTGCAGGTGGTCCAAAGCCAAGGCCAGCTCAGCCAGGTAGAACTTGACGTCCTCCTCCGTGAACATCACCTGGCGGGCGAGAGCACAGACTGCTGGCGGCGGGTTTGTCTTGAGGAACTCTGCCAGAGGGACGGGGACGCAGCCCCACAGAGTCCCACGCCCCCACGGTGCTCTGCTCCGGCAGGGGGAAGAGGCCTCTATTCGCCGTCCCGAGGGCAGTGAGGGCGCGGGAGCCCTTCCTGCAAGGACGAGGTCGGCAGCCCTGTGGGGGGCGCCTGGAGCTTCCCGTCCTCTGGGCCCGAGGGCCCCGCAGGCCGCCCGGCTCCGGGTGTTGCTCTGGGTTCGCACTTGCACACGGGAGCTCCTGGTGTGCATTTGCAGGATTTAACACAAGACTCCGCAGAAGCCTGGCGAGGAGCCCTCAACGACACGTCAGAACGTGTGTCTTCTGCCTCTCATGTGACGCCCGCCCCGGGTTTGTGCGGACCCGTGAGCTGGTGAGCCGCATGCAGTCCGCCCTGGGTGGGGGTGGGGGTGGGGGTCTACCCGAGAAGACACGCACATGTGGTGCAGAGTTAGCGGGCGCCCGGGGACAGTGGGACAGGGGACACGTGGGCGGCGAGGTCACAGGTCAGGGCGCCTGCCTTCGGGCTAGGAATTCCCACGACTCCAAGGTCGTGGTCTGGGGGAGGGGGATTCCCCTGCCCCCGGCAGCAGTTAGGAGCAGCGTGTACTTCCTGCGGTCACCTGCGAGGAGGCCAGATGGTGACGCGAAACCGTTTTTCACACTCACCACGGGACTCAGTGTCCCAGAAGGGACCGGAAGCCCACACCTCCCCCTCTGAAGGCCTGAACGCCGGTTCGCAGCTGCCAGCTATGCACAATCATAGTTTGAGGCGGCTCGCGGGGACGGGGTGGTGACTGGGTCGGGCTAACGCAGACGGAGCGCACCCGTCTCACGAGAGGGTGCTCCCTGGTGCGGCAGGAGCACGTGCCCCAGCCCCGGCGGCAGCCCCTGGGTGCCATCACCCCTCTGTCACCCCTCCCTCTGGCCTCTGGAATCTCCCGTTCCGCCCTCCACACTCAGCCAGAGCCTTTCCCGGTCGGACGTTTCTTTTCTAAACTGTTGGCCCAGCCATGGGCTTAGTTGTAACCAGTTCTGCCGGCCGCTGACCTCCCCTTCCCCTGATGCGATGTGTGAGGACCACAGCTGCGCCTGCAGTCCACTGCTCAGTGGGCAGCCCAGTGTCTCTGCCAGCCCAGTTCCCACGGCGCAGGTCGGTGTGGACGGGCAGGGGCCAGGCACCCGCTCTGGTGGGAGGGGGGGCCAGACACCCACTCTGGGGGGAGACCAGACACGAGCTCCAGGGCGGACCAGACACCCGCTCTAAGAGGGACCCAAACACACACCTGCACTCCCTCCACACAGACAACACACACACGTAGCCTCCCTGCACAGAAAACGCACATGTGCACACCCCTCCGGCCCGCCCTCCCCCCCGGCCCCTGGCCTCCGGGGCAGAGCGGACGGCCTGCAGCCCCCTGGCGGCCCTCACCTCCTTGGAGAGCCGGGTGAAGAGGTCTCCTCCCCGCAGGAAGTCCAGGATCAGGTAGAGCTTCCCCTCCGTCTGAAAGGCTGCAGGAGGAGGGGAGAGAGAGAGCGTGTCGGTGGCCCCTGTCCTCGCCCGTTTCCCGGGCTCGGTCTCCTGGGCTCGGATGACACTGTGCAGCCTGTGCCGCTGGGTCGGTTCACAACCGGGGCCGGGACGACGGGCAGGAGACAGCCGGCCGGGGCGGGACTCAGGGAGAGGGACTCGAGGTTAACGAGTTGTGTTGCCAACACTTCTAAGGGTCTTGAGATTTCTTCCCTTTTCCTTCCCTCCTCCCTTCCTTTTCTGGTCACAAAGGGGAAGGAAAGACACAGGGCCCGCTTGCCGTCCTCGTCACCACAATCAGGGTCACGCCCTGGGTGCACCTGGGCTCACCAGCGTCACCCTGGCTGGAGGGCGTCCTCACCAGAATGCCAGGGACGCCCCCCAGGCTGGGTCAGGAGACTCCCCCTACTTAGCCAGGGACAGAAACGAAAGAATAATAACGACACTGGTGTGTAGCCGCCGCGAGTAAGGTTTCCGAGACAAAAATAGGCCTCTTGCTCGTCTGGAGAGGACAGACAGATTGGGCCCCGGGAAGGGGGGAGAGGGGGGGCTTTGTCCCGGCGGGTCGCTGACCTGCAGCGTCACCGCCCACCCTGGCCCCCTCCAAAGCGCTCCCGCTGTCTCGCCCTGCCGGGGCTCACCGCGCTCACCGTAGTGAAGCTTCACGATGAAAGGGTGGCTCACTTCCGCCAGGATGTCTCTCTCCATCTTGGACCTGACGCGGTCGCGAACTGCGGGCAGAAAGACCGAGGCTTTCAGGGCGGGAAGCAGGGCCCACGACCCGGGGTCTGCAACGCCGGCATGGGCCGTCTCCCTAGCCCCTCGTGGCAGAAACTTCTGGGCGTGCACACAGGCTGAAACAGCGGGACAGCGATCACCCCGAACCCTCTGGCGGCTGCAACACTGCTGATGTCTGCACACGCTACGCACACACACATGGGAACACATGCCATGCATATGTGTGCACACGTGTGTACACACACACGGCCAGCGACCTGACAGTGAGCAGCGGTACCCCCCGAGAACAAAGACGACCTCTCACGCGGGCAGCAGGACAGCCACCCCGGAGGCAGTCAGCGGCCACCCCATGCTGTCACCTGACCTCCAGCCCGAAGTCCAGCCCCACGCCCGGTCATCCGTGGCTGTGTCCTTCCCCCGAGCCGGGACCCCGTCACGCCCCCACACCGTGTTTCTTCACTCTGTTTCCGCACCAGAACCGCCCCACAGCGTGGTCCCTGCCTCCCGCCGGCGCGCCTCCTTCTGGCCGGGAGGGAGGAGCGGCCACTCTGGCCCCGCTCCTGCGGGCCGAGGGCGGGTCTGGGGGCTCTGCGAGGGGGCTGCACGTGTGCACAAGAAGGCCTGGGGGGGGGCCGCGAGTGCCATTGGATGGCAGGTGAGGGGTGCGGCCGCCACCTGCTCGCTGAGCGACGAGGCTCGGGCGGCAGGTCCGCGGTCCCCCACCCCGAGGTCCACGTGCCCCCATCAGTAGGGCACCACCTGCGGGTGATGCTCTGGCCCCTAGTGACCCATGGGGGCCCTAACAACCCTCCGTCCAATGGTGTCGGCTTACGTCTACCCTCCTTGCTGGCATCCTAAGGGTTACAAAAGGGCAATGTTCTCATTTCCGAGGGAACTGGAAGTCCACAGGAAAAAGTTTCCTTCCCTCTCTCTCCCTCCCTCAGAATAAATCACTATGGACTACCAAATTTTAAAGCAGTTTAGTTTGTTACAACCAGTTACAATACTACTCCCTTTGGTGGCGACGTTGTCCCAAGCTTAGCCATCTGGGAATACAGATGGAATTTGAGGCAAAAATAAACAAACGAAAACAATCACCACTTGAGAAGAACAACTCCAAGATTCCCACGTGTGCATCGGCGCACCCGGCGCCACACCCGCGTGGACTCACGTGGCCCCACGCGGGCGACGGTGGGCAGTCTCCCCAGACGGGTGTGTATGCCTCCCACCCCCTGAAACAGTGTGCAGCCAAGATGGGGGGGCCCCAAATAGGGATTTGGAATGGGGTCCAGAGCTCAAGGTGTCCAGGAAATATTAGAAAGGCCTATAAGATGCCCTTCCCCCTCCCCCTCAACAGGTGTGAGTTGGGGGAGGGGACACGTGGAGCAGGGCCATGCAGGGCTGTTTTGTACAGCCACGGCTTTGCAGCTGACCTCTGGCGTGGTCGTTTAACATATCTACGACCTTTAACTGGTTGCAGAGATATGTTAAACAGCTGTGGCCGGGCTCTGAGCCAGGGGGACTGAAGGGATTTCCACCCAAGATGCAACTGGGGGGCAGGTCCCCGGAGTTACAGCGCCTGCGTGGGAGCTTGGAGAAGATTGGCTCCATGACATGGGGCCACGCCTGCCCGGACTCACGATGGCAGCCCAGTGAACTTGGAGTGATACAGGAATGCCGGCAGGCGTAACTAATTGGGGGAGGAGTTGGAAATGGGGGCACAGAGGAAGACTGGCGCGGGGATTTAAACCCAGACACGGCAGCCATTGCTAGGGGAGGGGACTATGCGGCTGTGGCAATAGAGGAGAGATCCACGCGGTGTCGCCGGAGTGCGGACCCCCACAGCTTGGGTGGAAAGGAGAACCACTCGGCTTTAGCCAGAGTGGGGAATCACCGTGCCGCTTTAGCGGAGAACCGCCACTCGGCTTTGGCAGAGTGGCCATCCCCCCACCCCCACTTCCCGCACCTTTGCTGAGAAGAACCACGTGGTTTTGGCCAGAGTGGAGACCCCTGCAGCTTTGGTAGAAGAGGACCATGCGGATTTGGGGTGCTCCCTTTGACCACGTGGCCTGGGAAGCAGGAGAGACTGCCTGGAGGAAGGGTGAAAGAACGCCTGCCAGTAGGCCACGAGAAGGTGCCACACGGCTTTGGATCAACTGGAGACCCTGCCTGGGCGGCGACACAGCTGACGGTGTCAGGAGCCTGGATCCCGGGCGTTTGCTCCTGAGTGACTACGGCGCCCCGGATCAGGGCAGGGGGAGAAGGCAGCACTGTGGGCGTCTGTGGGCATCCTAAAGGACTTTGATATCTTAGTGAAGACATTGGGTCTCTACTTTAAGCCTGTATAGCTCTGAATAAACATTTCCTTTCCTTCTCACACATTCTCTGGCGTTGAGAGACGTCCTTCCTAAGGCGGCGGACAATCGAACCTAGAGGGGGGCCCTTTGAGTAATAGTGTATGGTACCCCCCTGGGCCCTGTGTGTGTGGGGGTTCTGCAGTGCCTTGGCCTGGGCGCCACGCTCGGTTTGCCGTGATGGGCCCCCCCCGCCCCGAGGACGCCCGCGGCGGAACGCCAGCCACGAGCCCTGGCCGGGCTGCGGAGAGGCCAGAGCCCTGGGCGCCGCCGGCGGGAGCCAGAAATGGAGCGGCCGCTGTGGGGGACAGTGCGGTGGTTCCTCCGAAAAGCGAAGCGTAGCCCATTATTTCTCATATAGAGCTGCTTTCTCTAAGTTCCCTTAGGCTATGGAGGAACACTGTTTCCAGATAAGTGGAAACTTCAGATTAAAATAATGCTTACCCCGTGCTTTAAAGTGGCTCTCCGGGACCGGGTACTATAAATACGCTGACCCAGTTTGAGTTGCGCGTGCACCCAAGGGTGACAGAGTTTCAGTAAGAACACACTTCTGAGTTGAAACCGCACTTTTCCTTAGTGACTTTTAGCTAGTTTTACTGTTTCAAATTCACAGCCAAAGCGTGTGTTCATGAAATAACTTGGATTTTGGAGTATGAAGACGCATATGTTTTACTTCAAGCGGTGGACAACAGGCACCCCAAGAATTACCTTGTTCCCAGCCCCACTCCAATTAAAAGTGAGCTGACCTGCTGCTGTTGTTTCAAAAAGATTTTATTTACTTATTTTTAGAGAGAGGGGGAGGGAGGGAGAAAGAGAAGAGAAACATCCCTGTGTGGCTGCCTCTTGTGCGCCCCCTCCTGGGGACCTGGCCCGCAACCCAGGCCTGGGCCCTGACTGGGAGTCCAACCAGCAGCCCTGTGGTCTGCAGCCCGTGCTCAACCACTGAGCCACGCCAGCCAGGGCTCTGTTGCCTTTTTTTTTTTTTGGCTTTCTTTTTATTTTTTTAAATATTTTTAAAATTTTTTTGAGAGAGAAATGGGGAAGAGGAGAAAGAGGGAGAGAAACATCCATGTGTGGTTGCCTCTCATGCGTCCCCTACTGAGGACCTGGCCGGCAACCCAGGCCTGTGCCCTGACTGGGAATCGAACCCGCAACCATTTGGTTTGCAGGCTGGCGCTCAATCCACTGAGCCACGCCAGCCAGGGCCCTGCTGCTTTTTTGGAGTTGCGCACGGTGCCCGTGTGACCCAGAAATTCCACTCCTGGGTGTGTGTGTGACCACGAGCACCGGCAGCGGGGCCTCCGCAGACGGGTGGGCACGCACGTTCCCGGCAGCGCTGTCCACAGCAGCCCGAAGACGGACGCAGCCCCCGGGCCCAGCCGCAGGGGACGGGTAAAGGACGCGTGGTCCATGCAGACGCTGGAGGGCTCCTCAGCCTTCGAGGGGCACACTCTGACACGTGCTGCAGCACGGGGGTGGGGGGGAGGCCTGGGGACCCGGCGTGGAGTGGAGCCATCCTGACGCAGAAGACTCATGCAGCAGGCCTCCACGTCTGGAGGGGGGGGAACCTGGGGAAGTGGGGGGGGGCGTGCTGGGGCGGGGGAGGGGAGGGGTGGGGTGGTGTTTGTGGGGACAGAGTTCCACTCGGGCGACGAGACCTTCTGGGAACAGACGGGGCGGCGCCCACACAGCTCCGTGGACTCGCACGCATTTATCGCCACGTGGGACTGGCCAGAGAGTCCCCGTTCCGCGGCCCCCTCCTCACCACGGGCAGGGGAAAAGCTGTCCTTCCTGTTCTCGCATCCCCAGGAGGGTCGCCGCGTTCTGCTCTGGGGGCTTGGGTGCGGTCTTCTGTGTCCAGGCGCTCGCTCGGGGGGGCCTGCGCTGGCTCTGCGGCCGTGACCGAGGGGCTCCCCCCCCCCGCCCCATCTGTCTGTGACGGATGTGCAGTGCCTGCACGATTCCCTCAGGATGCCCCCCCCCACAAGCTCATTCCCAGGGACGAGGAACGCTGCAGACCCCCCCACGGCTCCCACACCCACCGCCACGCCGGTGCTGCCGCTCAGGAGACGGACACGGGACGGTGGAGCAGGTCACGGGGCCAGCGAAGGGCAGTCCCCACTGCTGGCTGTCCCGGCGCAGGTACCACCCGCCACCACCCGGGGACTGCCACAGAGCGGGCCCCAGCAGGGGGACAGAAGCAAAAGCTGAAGTCTGCCCGCTTGGTGGCAGAGGCCGAGGGTGCCAGCTGAGGACCCCGCAGGAGGAGAGCAGGTGACGCCACGGTGGCAGCACTGAGACGTCTCTCAGAGGCACAAGCTGGGGAGGAGGCCTGGGCAGCTGGCCGGCAGGCTTGGGGCAGCGAAGGGTGGGGGTGTCAGGGACAGTCGGGCGAGGGACTGTCCCTTCCAGTGCCGCCAGAGGAGCACGCTGCTGTGTGGACACGGCCTCGGCCAGCCCCCAGGGGCGGCGGCCTCCTCAGAGCGACAGCCTCCCCCGTGCATGTGGCCAGGCTCCTTGCTCTCCAGACAGCAGTCCAGGGGACAGGGCCACCTTGAGGTGGGTCATCTTCTGGGGAACAGTGTCTGTCCCACCCACCTGTCTAACCCCCAGACTCCGGCCCCAGGACGTGACCGAGA